GTTTACCATACTATTCTGGGGACGAGGGGAGAGGTTTAAGTGGAGCATGCAAAGTTAAAAGTGTTCTTGATTGAGTCACTTTGTCCCAACCCAAGTCTTTGAAGCAAGTTGTAATGGTCAGGTTGGCCCAGTGCATTATCAGAAGAAAATCAGCTGGACCCAGATAGTTAAGGCTGACTGAATTTGGTAAAGTGTTTATGTGACAGGCAGCAGGAACATAGGCAGAGCTACTATTTGATTTTTAACTTGCTATAACATGTCTATATAAGTTTGCTATTCTGTAACTGTGCCTTAACTATCTATATGATTATGTCCTCACCTCTGTATAGTAGAGCTGCCGCAAATACTTTTTTGAATATGGATGGTAATGAATCTAAAGGAAATATATGGCAGGAAGGGATGAAGTAGGAATATTAGAATCACAGTATTCTTGCTTTAGATAAAGTGTTCCCTCTTTACTTGGAACATTTTTAATCCTTTTCTTAGCTGTGCCAAAGACATAATGATTCATTACAAAGACATAATGATTCATTACAGAGTCAGATATTATATATATCCTTCTTTACATAACATTGAAGAACATGAAGAAATCTGACACAAAGGTTAATGGAGACAGTGTTGAGAAGTACAGCCTACGAGCTACAATTAGAGGTCTAGATTTCAAGATCGGTGTCATCATTTTGACCCTGGGCAAGGACTTAATTCTTCTGGATTTTCATTCATGTATTTGTCACATTTATACAGCATCTTCTGCATTCAGGCACTGCTAGGTAGACATGGATTCTGTAACAGTGAAGATTACTGTAATACTTGTACTTTTAGTCTTAAGCAGGATTTAGATAATAAGTAATTACACATATATTATGTTAAAAATTAAGTGCTGTGATGAAGTCCACAGTCTTAGGAAACCGGGCTGTAGGACACATGTCCTTATTTGGTTGGACGAGGTGGACAGGAAGGCATGCTCTGGAGAAATAGTAGTTAGGCTTAAATCTGAAACAATGAGAGGTAAGGAGTAAAGAAAGATCATTCCAAGAAGATGCAGTGGCATGTTTGAAGACCTTAGAGCAAGAGGAGTTCTTGAAGAAACAAAGGATTATTTTATTTAGTAAAATATGGATGGTGATCAAATACAGTAACACATGTGAAAGTATTTTACATCTAAGATCCTGTATGTATGTATACTCATTTATAAATATGTGCATGTTGTAAGTTAATATTGGATTGGGAGGGTTTGCTGGGATAGTGGATCAAGCCAGGACTCAGGTTCATCAACTATTTCTTTCCAAAGTTGAAATGCTTCTTCTATGAAGAACAGGAAAATTCAAGTTTTGAGCAATGTTGGTAAAAGAATGTGTGTTTCAGATAGTTTAAAAATATTTTAGGGGCTGGGGATTTAGCTCAGCGGCATAAGTGCTTGCCTTGCAAACAGGCAGTCGTGAGTTCGATCCCTGGTACTGATAAAAATGAAAAAGACAAAAAAAAATATTTTAACAAGTGGGATACTTATTATGCATCTATTGCCTAGGACACATTGTACTCCTTTGTGTACGTAGTATATAGTATATTGGCTAAGAACACAGACTCAAGCTGTATTGCTTGAGAGGTGGAAGCTGTTGTTCAGACAGGCTAAATGATGTACTCAAAATCATGTATCTAGTAAGTAGAAGAACTGAGCTTCCAGTTTTAGACTGTGTCTAACACTTGTGTATTTTTTATCACATTGCTTCTGTGTGTTAGTTACTTTTATTGGATAATACTTGAGCTTTTATAACAAGTTTCTAAGCTTTAATTCTTCATCTGTGCTGAGCTTAATGTTAACGTGTAAGTCCTTAGGGCAAAAGATCCCAGGGACTGACCGGCTGTACTGAACTTCCAGTTTAAAATTTCCTGACTTCTGTGCAATTAAAATGTATGCCTTAAGCATTTCAGCAATGTGGTTTATTTATAGAATTGTCTTCCAGTTCATGTGTACTGGGCCTGCTTTGGGGTGTTGCATTTTCTGCCAAAGGTTGTTTATTTTTAACCCATTTTGATTTTCTGTTGCTTTGTGGATTGGTATTATGACCTGTAACAGGAAAACCAGGAAACTCACCATAAATGGAGCAGCCAGAATAAGACACTGCAGATGAAAAAAACAAAACAAAACAAAATAAATTATGCATCATTATACAGCCATATTTGGATATAAGTACAAGTTAGGCATTGGCTATATTAGGCAAAAACCTAGATATAGAAACCTCAGTTTGAGCCAAGCTTTTTTTTTTTTTTTTTGTCTTTTTCGTTTTTATCAGTACCAGGGATCGAACTCACGACCGCACACTTGCAAGGAAGGCGCTTATGCCGTTGAGCTAAATCCCTAGCCCGAGCCAAGCTTTTGCTTGAGTAGGATTGGGCCCTTAGCTCCAAATTCTTGGATAGTAATAATCTTTCTGAGCCTTAGTTTTAACACCTGTAAAGAAGGGATTATTGTATTTTCTTGATGGCATTATTGATAGGATTAAATAGTAATGGGTTAAGCAAGCAGCCCAGGCCTGACTTCAGTGGATAGTAATTATTGATAATGATAAAATATTCCTTCATCCAAATCTATTTGTACAGTCTACACAAACTGCTATGTCTAACATTACTTACTATTAGAAATTCTGTCAGGAGGAATTATTTGCCTCGACTAATTTGCTTTTCTTTAGAAGATGATAATAACAGCTACCATATTTATAAAGCAGTTATCATATTTTAGGCACTAGACTAGGTGTTTTATATGGATTCAGTGTTTCATTTTAAGATCAGAGTTATTTTTCTCATTGATCTGGAAAGTGATGCCCAGAAAAGAAGAGTGAGCTATTTAAAGTGGAGGTTTGCTTTTAAGTCTAACTGATTATAGGCCATGTACACATGGAGTAATGACATTTATACAGTTTGTTTATTGTGTCTGACCCTGGCATGAATATGTGTGAAAGGAAAGGTAATAGCTACCAGTGGATTTTAGCTGCCTGCTTCTATAGGCACTGTGTCAAATGTTACCTGCTGTTGTAGTCAGTGTTTACAAGGACAACACTTATATATAGGACACATGACTTGTAGTAGTATTTATAATGGTCACCCAAGAAGTCAAATACAAAAAAAGCACAGGGAATCTGTCCACACACTAAAGACGTAGAAAATCCAGCTGAGGGCCTGGATCCTGTGACTGAGTTCAGCTGAAGACCTAGAGCCCATGACAGTGTCTCTCTCCTGTCTATCTGGAGGCCTGAATCCCATGAAAATGACTCATGCAAATCTGTTCCATGGATCTGCCCTGGGAAGGCCCAAGGATCAGCAATGGAAGCCAGAAAGTCTTTGTCAGCGGGGTGAAGGATCTGCGCCAGTAGATTGAGGGTTCTGCACTGGAGCCTGGAAGCAATGCTCAAAGTGAGGACCAGGGCTTCCCTAAAAAGTACCACAGTCATCCCCAGTAACAATGAGGTCCTAAGCTCCAATGATGAGAACAGCCTACTACATATCAGGAAGCTAGTGAGCTTCTCCTGGAGATTGAACAGCACATATATTACCTCTGGAGCCAGGAAGTGATGCTCAGAGTAAGGACCAGAGCTCCCCCAAAGCGGGCTGCCGCCATTCTCAGGGACAAGGTCCTGAGCTTCTTTGATAATAAATAACAGCTGAGTTCATATCAAGGAAGCTAGTGTGACAAGCTCCTCCAGGAGAGCCAACAGCTTCAAACAACACCAGCACTTAGGAGAATCCACAGTGCTACTCTATTCTTTTCCACTTCTCCTTTTTATGCTGGCAACAGTCCTCAAGTGGACCCTCTTCACAGAGCACCACGCTGATTCAGTTCAGCTGGTGTTTAAATTTACCATCAGTTTTCAATCCACCGTATCTTCCTAAAGTCATTATCCCTCAACTCTGAGAAATAAATATAATTATCCTCATTTTACAATAGAGGATGTCAAGGTACAAAGATACTTGAGCATTTAGTCAGTGGTGGAGCTGAGATGGGGTTCTGGATCTCCTTGGCTGCAGAATCCATGCTTTTATTCACTCCGTCATACTGTATCAAAATTTTAGGAGGGACTTTTCAAAATGAAGTGTGGAGCTGATTTTTGAAGATACAAACTTCCAGCTATTTAATGATACTTGTTCATAATTTTCTGCAGAATGATAGATTCCTGTCATAAGCTATTAGTGTTACATTTGTCAGCTGGGACTGTGTCTTATCTGAGGTAGCTGTAAGCTTTAGCATCTTTCTGTGATCAGAGACCTCAGAAGTGTGACATGTAACCGTATTTACTCACGTGAGCGTGCCATTTTTGAGTTTTAGTTCTAGATCATGGAAGACCTCAACCTTCAGTCATGTTTCAGGCTCTCATTGAAGTGCATTCTAATTGGTAATCAGCACGTAAGGAACCAAAGAAAATTTTAATTCAATACTGGCGTGTAAATTTTCCAGTCATTTTCTGCCTGTTGAAATGTTTTTCTTGTTTAAAGTCCTCTTGTAGTGCTCTGCGTTCCCTTTTAAAATTTCATCAGGATTTTGTGCTTTTCCTCATATAGGGATTAAATTCGTGTCTCTGAAGATTTAGATGGTGCACATTTACTTAACAGGCATTTTGGTGTAGTGGAAAGAACTTGATGTTCAGAGCCTTACAGACTGTATGTGAGCCTTAGTTTCTTTCTTTTTTTTTTTTTATTTTTTTATTTTTTATTTTTTTTTTGGGTCTTTTTCTTTTTTTATCGGTACCGGGGATCGAACTCGCGACTGCCTGCTTGCAAGGCAGGCACTTATGCCGCTGAGCTAAATCCCCAGCCCCGAGCCTTAGTTTCTTAATTTTATAAAATAAGACTAATGTTTTCTTCTGTGATAGTTGGAAAGAGGATTTGAGGTAATATATTTAAATTGCCTAGTACTTTGTTTATCGGAGTGCTTGAAAATTGATACATATTTTCTGAAGTTGCAGTGGTGTCTCTCTCATGTCTCCTTTTTGTCTTATTCTTTTCAGAGGATATTCAACAAGGATTGTCTTTAGTCATGGCCTTGGGATTAAAATGCTTCCGCTTGATCCACCCGGCCTCTTGCAATTACCGTGGAGTCTTGATCAGACCTGTTTCAGAAATTGCACTGAAGACAGTGAGTGGGAAACAGCCTGACCATAGTCAGCACATGGCTTATCAGGCTGTACCAGTTCGCCATTTTGCAACCAAGAAAACGAAAGGTAGAAACTTAATGACCTCCTTCCCTTCTTCACCCCTTATATTTGGCCTTTGATTTGTTGTAATTGTTAGAGATCTCAGAAATGTAGTGAATTTCTGCTGCATGTGGTGGTGCACTCCTATAATCTCAGCACTTGGGAGGCTAAATCAGGAGGATCACAATGAGTTTGAGGCTAGTTTTAGCTACATAGTTGAGATCTTGTATCAAAAAAACCAAAAGAGAGAAAGAGAGAGAGGTACTAAATTCTCCCCTTGAAATGATGCCTTGCTCAGTTTAGTTGATTAGTTTAAGAGGTCACAGTGACAGACTACATTAAAACCCAAGTCCTGTTTTCTTATTACCATTCCAGCTCATATATTTTCTTAGTGATTGAGAAAATGCCTAGTTTATTTCCTTTAGATTTAGAATTACAAGTACCAAGCAAACCAGAATGCTTGTGGCAGGGATCAACGTATTCTCTCCTTATAGGAAGATGTATGTTGAATATATAATTGAAACCAGAAGGTTTTTGGGTAAAGAGGTATTAAAGGCATGGATTTAGATGGATGATCTTAATGGCTTGTGTCATCCAAGAATGGGATTTTGACATACTGCAGGTCTCAGTTTAAATGCCACTTCCTCAGGGAAGCCTTCCCTGACCTCTTAGAGTAGGTCAGGTCCCCTGTTACATGCACTCATGCACACTGTTGTTTTACCTTTGATGTACTTAGAACAGCAGTAATTAATTAATTAATCAATCATAAGATTATTGTTTATTACCTGGCTTCCACTTTAGACTCAGTGAAGAAAGCATCTGTTTCTTTGTCACTTTGTACCTAACTGGGCCTGATACAGTATATGCATTGAACAGTTTTGTTGAATGAATTAAGGAGTGACAGAAAATTATTAAGCAGCCCACTTATAGTGGTGGGTCAGATAATTCATTCTCAGCAATAGTGCTAGAAATATGCTGCTGAATATTTCCCCACTGACTTTCTTTTTCTAGTTTCATGCTTCTCTTTGTTATTAGAAAAATTTAGAAGTTGCTGAAGCAGCATTAATGTTAGAAGATTTACATTCTATTAAGAGTGGTAGTAGTAAATAACGTTTAATATATATGTTATATTGTATGTTTTAAAGTTCCCAACATTTATTAGTTTGTTCTGTATCATTATCCACTGAAGAAATTATAATTTTCCAGTGAAAAAAATCTTTATAATTATCTAGTGAATCTAGATTTTGTGTTTTACTAATGAGGAAACTTAGGTGCATTTACATTTGTAGAAAAATTTGCCCCATAGTTGTGTTACTGGGAGAATTGGAAACCTGGACCTACTAGTGTCTCCCATGGTGCAGTCTTCTGGACACTAGTCACTAACTGGTCTGTAAGCAGCATTTTTTCATATTCTGTGTGCTGTTCAGTATTGATGTCTTTGATTGCCTCCTTAAAAACTTATTGTTTTGACTTTTGTTGTTTCAGTTTTTTGAGACAAGGTCTTGCTGTGTAGTCCAGACTGACCTTGGGTGGCTCATATTCAGAAATAAACTCTCTTGACAAAATGATTTTTGTGTCTTTGTTTTTGTTTTTTTGAGACAGGGTCTCACTATACAGTTCAAGCTAGCCTTAAATTCACTGTGAGGTCTAGGATGGCCTCAAACATGCAGCATTCTTCCTGCCTCAGCCTTCCATGTAGTTTGACTGTTGAAAAGATTTATTTAAGTCTTTGTATTAGAAATACTAATCTTTTGTTGCATGTGTTACATGTATCTTATTTGCTTTTTACTTTATTTATGGTGTCTGTGTTAAAAATTAATTTTAATACAGTCATTCCTTTCCTTTATCACTTGTGTTTTTTGTCTTCTGCAAGGATTCTTCTTGTTCCAAGTCAGATATGGTGGTCTACACCTGCAATCCCAGTTCTCACGAGGCCAAAGCAGGAGGATCATTGCATATTTGAGGCCATACTGGGCCACATAGTGAATTTAACACCAGTTTGAGCTGCATAGCAAGATCCTGTCTCAAAAAAACAAACAAAAAGAAATTCTTTCTGTCCCAAGAGAATTTATTTCTGAATATGGTATGAATTAAGAATCAAATTTATGTTTCTTTTTCCATAAAGTTTATAAGTTGTGTCACTGTCATTTGTTGTTCAGGTCATGTTGAACTTGTGGCCCAAACGTGCTTGACCTCTTACAGCCTTTGTGTTGCACACTTGATGCTGAGATTTGCTCATCCTGTGTATCAGCTACTTTATATTCTTTGATTTCTGTCTCTCCATCTTTTCCTCCCCAATCTATTTTAGTCTCTATTTCTGTGTATTCAACTTTTTTAAAAAAAGAGTCTACCTATAGGTGAGACCATGTAGTATTTCCCTGTGTCTGGCTTATTTTATTTAGTACATTATCCTTGTTGGGGCAAATAGGAGAACCTCTTATTTTCAAGGCTAAATAATATTTTATACACACACACACATATGCATAGGGAAAGGGAGAGATATTCTTTTTCATCTTTCCCTGGACAGGCACTTCAGTTGTTTTCCATATCTTAGTTATTATGAGTAATAGTTTGTTTTTTTCTTACAAACACTTAAGACTGTGCATTTCTACTTAAATACAACTTTGAGTTCTTCCTAAACATTTTTGTTTTGTTTTTGTTTTTCTTTTTTATCGGTACCGGGGATCGAACTCACGACCACACACTTGCAAGGCAGGTGCTTATGCCCCTGAGCTAAATTCCCAGCACTAGTTCTTCCTAAACATTTTTGATAGAATATTTTTATTAGGGTCATTTGTAAATACTTTCAAATTTTTGTTGAAGGTTTCTCCATAGTTCATGAGTATTTATTATTTATTTATTTATTTATTGGCATTTTGAGATAAGGTCTCACTTTGCAGTTCAGGCTGGCCTTGAGCTCACTTTGTAGCCCATTGAATTTGCAATGATCCTCTTGCCTCGGCCTCCCGAGTGCTGGGATTACAGATGTGTGCCACCACACCTAGCTGAGTATTTATTATTTAGACTGTTTAAAATTTTTATGTATTTTTTTGTTTTAGTCCATGACTATTACTTTGAAATGTTTAAAATTTTTCAAACATGTGGTTAATTGGGGGATAAACATAATCCCACTGTGATCAGAGAACATAAGCTGTATGATTAACTGCTTGGTATATGTTGATATTTGCTTTGTGGAATAAAAAAAAAATGGTGATCTCATGTAAAGCCTGAAGCATGATTGTGTGTTCTCTTATCCTTGAGTGTATGGTGCTATATGTCTTCATTAGATCAAGTTGGCTAATTATGTGGGCAAATTTTCTATATATTTATTTTTTCCTTTTTAGTATTAAACCTAAGATCTTTGCACTGACCTACATCTCCAGCCTTTATTTTTCAATTGTTATTTTGAGGCATGGTCTTGCAAAGGTGTTCCATAGCCCTAGGTGGACTCAAACTTGCCATCCTCCTGCTTCAGCCTCCCATTGTGCTGGGATTACAGGCATGTGCTTTGTTTACTTTTTTATCTGCTTAGTTTATCAAATTCCCTAACATATGGATAGTGCTTTTTATCATTTCAACGGCTTAATTTGTATTCTTGTAATAATTTCACAACATAGACATTATTATTTGTCTTTCACAATAGAGAACTTTATATTTAAATAAAATAACTTACCCAAGGTCATAAATCTAGTGTGGACATAATTTTAACCTGGAATAGCTGATTATCAAGTCCGTGCCTTAAATAATGTCGGCGAATGTATGCAGCACAAAACTGAGAACCTATTTGACAGTAAATACAGGCTTCTTCTTAGGATAACGACTCCCTTTTTAGAATATAGGCTCTCTTTTTTTAGAGATACTATTTTGTAATTTTCTAGTACTTGACATTTTGTCCCGCACAAAGTAGATGCTGCACCAGTTGCTTATTGTTTCTGTGTCTGCCGCTATTCTTCTATTCACTGAATGTTTAATTTCTAGCCAAAGGGAAAGGACAGTCCCAAGCCAGAGTGAACATTAACACAGCTTTGGTTGAAGATATAATCAACTTGGAAAAAGTGGATGAAGAAATGAAGTCTGTGATAGAACTACTCAAGGATAATTTCAATAAGACTCTCAATATAAGGACTTCACCAGGTTAGTTACCAGTGTTTCGGGAAAGACCTAGTAGAAAGAGTATGTCTTTGGCAGAGCCGAGTTTTAGTTCTAACTTTGGCACTGACTTAATGATGACCGTGGGCAGTTATTTTGGGTTCTCAGTTTCCATATTTGTCTGCTGTGAACTAAGCGTTATGTGGGTACACAGAAGTAAACAAAAATAGTTGTCATTGCTTTCATTAAATTGTACTCTTAAAAAATAGGAGTTTTATTATGACTGTTAGGCTCATAGTTCTGACATCGTTATTCTGATATTTCCAATTTGTCGTACTTGGCAGTTCTTATCCCTTACTGGGAACCAATAGCTGTAAACCTGCCCACCTGAGGCCTTCCTATACCCCTGAGCTTGACCAGGAAGATTCCTTTTGGGTTAATAGCTTCCTGAAAGTGACTTTTCTAAGTGGAAAATGTCAGAACTGTATAGGAGAACCGTTTGCAGATGTGATAGAGAAGTAAGTTGTCAGCTAATGGTGCAAGCAGGCAGGAAAAATCCAATTGCTGTGAAATTGGCCTTTTGCAAATTGTCATCATCCTATAGTTAAACCTGGACCCCCTCTGAAGTATCTGTGGGAGTTGGGGCTGCTCCCACTCACATCTTGATTGGGGAAGTTTTAAGGAAACTAGAAAATATTTCATGAACTAGTTTTTAAGAAAGTCAGATGAAAAATACCTGGCTCCACTTAGAAATACTTAGAAACATGCTAAGTTCAAAGATGAGATCCAATGTGAAACTAGAAGACCATTCCCGTCATTTGTCAACCTGTGGGCTGGGGCACTTCTGCCTTTGCTGACAGTAGAGCATGCCATTCAATCTCTCCCAACTGTTTATTTTAAACTTGCTTATTATTTTAGGTATGAAACTGATAAAGTGTTCTGTCTCCCCTGTGCTTTCTGGCCTCTTAACATTCTGCAGCCGAAATCAGAGAGCAGTTTGAGAGGAGCTCAGGGAGAAATGTGATACTTAAAATTAGCCAGCAAACTCCACTCTTGTTGAACTTAAAAAGATGATGGGCCTGGAAAGAGGTTGGGAGTGTAATTTGTTAAATGTTAACCTCTGAGAAAATGAGGGGCAAGAATGAGGCTGAGGGAGATTCTCGCTAGGGACAGATTGAGGGAAAAGGATTTGATGCATTATGTCAGTACATATTTAGGGAATGGGAACCACCACAATTGCATACCTAAATGCCCATATTGGGACTTTTGTGGCAAAGGATCTTATGGCAAATCTGGAAAGCTAAATTAAGATCCATTTTCAAAAGGCCTCCTGTTGGTATTTCCTCTTTGCTTCTTTTTCTTTAGGGTTATGTTTTTGTAACATTCTGTGTAGAACCTGAATCTGTGAAAGGATTGGGAGAAAAAGGCTAAATTTATCAAGTCTTTTATTTTTACTAGATTCTTCCATATCTTCTTTCATTATTTTCTGAACCAGCAGGCACTTTTCCTCTTACACTTCTGTCTTCCTAAACCCCATGCTAGGCAAGCGCCTTATCACTGAGCTACATCGTCAGTCCTATTTGACACCTTTTAATAGCTAAGTTATGGGGTTTTTTTTTTTTAATTTTATTTAAGGAGGAAAAAAAAACAGAGAAAGGGTACAAGTTATACAGATTTACAGAAAAAAATAAACAGTAGGAAATCACTAGTTAATGGATTACATATTGTCATCTTAAAAATAATTGTTCAAGTCACAAAATTATAGCATGTAAAGTGGACATTCCAACAGTGAGACTGCAAACAGTTCTGTTCATTGATCCAATAAAATTCAGTGATACCATTTTCTATCTTATACACTTAAATATACATGCAGTTATATCGTTTAGAGCACTTTCTTTTCCTCTCTTTTGTACAATGACAATTACACATTTTGGGTTTTGTTGCTCCCACAGTTCTTATTACTTTTTTGGAAGGGAGTAGAACCAAATGTGACATAACAGAACAGAGTCAATCAAATCAAAAGGGTGGACATAATAGATAATGTAAAAGCATAATACAAGGTGATCAATAATGGTTACCATAATGCCTCCTGCTATCTCTAATAGAATTGCCTATATCATCAGTTATCATAAAATTGAACAAAACAGTAAAGAACAAAACCGACAAAACCAAAACATTGGAGACATTGTAGGTCTTCAAAAGTAGATAAAAGTCATCGAGAATGGGCGTCATAATGAATCTCACTATCTTCACAGCTGTTGCCTAAACTTTCGAACTTGGTACTATCAAGCAAAACAGAATAGGGGGACATCAGTCAAAAACAAGATGGTGAGAGTATACAGGGCTTTAAATCAAGATAATGGAAAGTCAAAGTGGGTTACTATAATCTGCTATTTTTATTTGTTTTTCCCTTAATTAAAAGGATGAAAATAAAAAAGTAAATAATGGAGTGGAGATTGAGATAAAAGAGGGCATAACAGCAAAACAGTGCAGATCAAAACATAACCATTTAAGCAGAATAGTGTTTCACCACAAGATAATCCTGACATAAAAGTAGTTACCATATTGTCTCTTTCCTTGAAATCCTTGAGTACAACTTCGTATACTGTAGCATCAAATATATCAAAACAATGTAAAACCATTTAAGAGAATGACAGCATTACAGGTTATTTAGAATCAACTAACATAAAATGAACAATGGTTTCTGTATAATCTCCTTGTCTTTAAAAGTTTTTGCTTATACTATCGTGCATAATAAAATCCAATAAGATACAACCTGTTTAGACCAATGGAGACAGAAGAACAAAAGCTTGATGAGACTTCAAAACAAGATGATACTAAATCAGTATTACCTATTAAGACGTCATTTTCTCCAAAATAGCTGTTCCTATCATCCAATCTTCTCTGCCTCATTTCTGTTGAACTATTTTTCTGTCATTAGTTGTCAGTTTGTTTTCTTCATTTTGTTTTCTCCTCCATTCATTGTGGCCTCCCCACCACTATTTCTGGATTCTTTGTATTTTTCTTTTTTAGAATATCCTGCAATACTCTCTGTAGAGTTGAATTGGTGGTTGCAAATTCCCCCAGTTCCTCTTTATCCTGGAAGCACCTTGTTTTTCCATCAATTTCCAGGGACAGTTGTGCAGGATATTTCAATCTTGGCTGGAGATTATTATCTTTCAAAGCTTGAATTATTTCCCCCCGACGCTCTTCGTGATTTGATGGTTTGTGCAGAGAAATCTGCTGTAATTCTGATGGGTGTTCCCTTGTAAGTGGTCTGTTTCTTGTCTCTGACAGCTTTTAGTATTCTGTTCTTGTATTGAATTTCTGGAATTTTTATTATTATATGCCTGGGTGTTGTTCTGTTTGGGTTGTAGGTGGCTGGGGTCCTGTATGCCTCATACATCTGAGTATCTTTTCCTTTTGCTAAATTAGGAAAATTCTCCTGGATTATTTCTGTGAGTAGCTTTTGTAGTTCATTTGTTTGTGTCCCTACTTCTTCTTTCATGTTCTTAATTCTTAAGTTATGGATCCTCTTATCATCTTCTAGTCTTTGTATTATTGCTGTTTGTTTCTTTGTTACTTTTAAGAAGTTTTTCATTTCATGCTCCCATATTACAAATCTGCCCTCCAGTTCAGATAGTCTGTCCTTAGTTTCTTTCAAGCTGTTATGCCAGTTTTCGATAAGAGTTTTTAGTTTCCTGGTAGTCCCTTTGAACCTGCTTCACATATTCTATGCTTTCTCTATTTTCTCCATCTAACAATTCTCCCCTCTTTTTCTGTTCTTCCATTCCACCATCTGTTTTTTTCTTGGGTGGTGCTTAGCATTTCTCTAACTATTCTGCTTACTTCTAGCTTCAGGTCATTAATAACTTCATTCCTGAACTGATCTATGAGGCTCTCTAGATGGCGCTTTATATCTATTGGTGCAGTGTCCGCTATTGCCTGTTTCTCAGGATTGGGGGCCGAGGAACCTTTCTTGTTGCTGCCTCTTCCCATATTCTTTGTTCCTTATATATGCAAGCTTATATAGGAGGCCCAGCTTCCCTCCCTGTTAGCCACAGCCTGATCGAATTTCGCCGGCTAGGCGTTCCCGCCCACCACAGCACACCAGGAAATTGTAGACCCGGCAACCTACGCAGGGCCCGCCTCTCCAGGCCACCCTCAGGCTCTGGGATCTGGGTTGGGCTAGCCCACTGGGTCTCCGCCAGCAGCGTCACGTAGGCTATGCACTTCTCACCAATCCCGCTTGAGAGGGGGATACGTGGCTGAAGTCGCTGCAGCGCCCCACTCCCGCAAGTCTGCCCAGTCCCAGAATGTCCTCCGCTGGAGTCAGACTGTGGAAGAGTGTCAGTTTCTCTCACTCACCTCACCGCAAGTCAATGCATGGCTCCCCGCCCACCCTGTTTTCAACTCGGTTCGCCGATTCCCGTTCTCAGGTCTCTCTCCCTGCCAAGCCGATGTAGATGCAGCTGCCGCGCGGCGGGAAACCCAAATCACGGCTTCCAATGGCGCAGGCTCCAGCATCCACACTGAGGCCCCTCTGTTCCTGTTCTAGCACCAGGACTGCATTCCAAGTTGGTTTCTCTCAGCCCAGTTCGTTCCTGGGTCAGCAGATCATATCTCCACCTGCTTATGACTCCTTACTCCGCACCATTCCTGATTACTAAGCCGAGTCTTTCAGAGAGCCTCCGTAGCTGCTGCTATCTGTCCGCCATGTTCTTCCGGAAGTCTCAGTTATGAGTTTATATTGTGTGTTCATTCATGTTTTCTGTCCATCTATCCATCCATCTGTGCTTCCATCCATACTTACTTGTTAAAACATTTGGGGGTGGGGTGTACCGGAAAGCGAACTCACGATGTCACACTTGCCAGGCAGGTGCTTACACAAATCAAACAGCATGTGTAAAACAATATGACAAAATGAAGTGGTGAAAATTGTGGCTTTGATGATGGACAAATCTGGCTTTGAATTTGGGCTGTATTATTATTTTGGTGAGAACTATTACGTGTTTTTTTTTTTTTTTTTTTTTTTTGGAGGGGTGAGCTGTCTTTATTAGTATGTGTTTGCACTCCATGGTGATTATATTTATTATAGGGAGTTGGTACATGTACATAACACATTTTAATTCTTTTTTTTTTTTTTTTTTTTTTTTTTTTTTTTGTCTTTTTGAGAGAAGTTCTTGCTATGCAGTTCAGGCTGGCCTTGGGCTCATTTTGTAGCCCAGGCTGGTCTCAAACTTGCAAAAGATTCACCTGCCTTAGCCTTCTAAGTGCTGGAATTGCAGGAGTGTACTACCATGCTCAGCTTTCACATTTTAATTCTTTTTTTGTCCTTTCCCTTTTTCCACTCTTCCCTGCTCCTTGCATCTCTAGGTCTCTTTACCATTTGCAAAATTTTTTTCCTCTCAGTTTTTTTATTTCATCCCTTTTACATCCTCCATACTTTTCCCTCCTTCTGTCTCTTATTCTCCTTCCATTTGAAAAAGATTTACCTACATTTTATTATCTTTTATCTTGCTCTTTTTTTATATTTTGTGTTTCTCATATACAAGCTCATGTGTTTGATTTATTTTTCTTAATATTTTGACCTTAAGGTACCTAGGCTACATTATTTTGTTTTGGTTTTTTTCTGTGCAGTTCAGGCTGCCTTGAACTCACTATGTAGCTCAGGATGGCCTTGAACTTGCAAGTTCCCTCCACCTTCTCAGTGCTGGGATCACAGACATGCTCCACTGTGCCTGGCCCAGGCTTCAATAATAAGAGATGTTGTGAGTTTGGGCAAGCTACTCTTTAGGTCTCAAATTTGCTTGTCTGTAAAATGGTGGAAGTAATAATAACTATATCAAAGGATTATTGTGTTGAGAGAATTTAACATGATGTGTTACTCATAGGAAATGCTCAATAAATGTAGGCTATCATTATTTATATAAATATACCCAAGATGTTGGGGACTCCTCTTAGGAGTCTTTTAATCCAGCTAAGGTGAGACAAGACTTCTGAGATTAGACACTACTGTTGCTGAGTGTTAAAGAGGAATTATCTGAGCAGAAGAGTACCCTCAGTAGGAAGAAAATTTTAAGGAAAATTTGTGAGACAAAAGTATACTTGAGAAATTGGGTTTTTTGCTTTGTTTTTGGTTGTGAATTTTTTTTTTTTTTTTTTTGGACAGGGTCTTGCTGTGTAGCTCAGGCTGGCTTTAAACTTAACTTTGTAGCCTGGGCTGACCTGAAGCTCGCCACCATCCTTCTGCGTCAGCCTCCTGAGTGCTGAGATTAAAGGCATGTGCCATCATGCTCAACAAGAAATTGTAGATAGATTATTTTGATTAATATATAAAAGAATGTCAAGAAGCAATAAAATTAACATTATTGGGACACAGTATCAATACATTTCATATTGCCTTTCATTTAATCCTCATAAAAATCCTCTACAGTTTTTATGTTTCATTTAGTGATCAGGAAATAGCTCTGGAAATTTGAAGGGACCTGCCCAGTATTTCATAATCTGGAAGTGACAGAATTGGTGTTTGAACTCAGCTATTTAGTCTTCAGGATCCTGGCATCTTTTACTGTTTGACCTCCTGGAGATTCCCAGGTTGGTCAGTGCATTAGCAACTTGCTTTTAACATTGAATCTGATTGAAAACTTCAAATCAGATCTTTGACTAATACATTATAATACTGTATTTTTCTAACACATTTTGCCTGAACAACTCCAGTTTGTTTAAAAGACTCATTCTGTCCTCCTCCCTTTTTCTTTGTGTCTCAGAATGAGCCATCCATGAGTGGTTCCTACTGTGAATGGTAAGGATTTTCTTCTAGTTGTCATTTGCATAGGAAATCAGGGAATTTGAATAATATCCCATCTGTAACTGTGGCTTTGTTGCTTGCTTTCTTGGATTTCTGAAAATTTTGCTCAGTTTTCCAGAATTCAAATAAGGATATGATAACAATGAAGTATTAATAAAGTTTTATTTGTTTGTTTGTTGTTTTAAGTGGGGTTGTTTCTGAAGAGGACCTAGGCACCAAAACCAAGAGTAATATGAGGGAATGTCAGAGTCATGTGAGTTTAAAAAAAGGTCACAGGATCCCACAAAATCACAGGCTCTCACTTCACCACAGGAGAAATGGGGGGGGGGGGGGCTAGAAATCTAAATGAGAAAGCTCCCTAGTGATTCTGATACACAACCAGATTTGAGTTCAACTTGTGTAAGGTGAGGAACCTTGATTGATACCAGAATAGAAGCAAAGCTGAGTTTTAGTCTTGGTCTCTGATTTTCTTTTTGTTAGTTATATGATCTTGCCTCTTTTATCTTTTTTTGTAAGTCACATATTCTCATTGGTAAGGTACAAGAAGTAATAATGATATATGATGTATGTAGAAAACTTGTCTGTGCTTAGATTTTGGTCTTTGTTTTATACTTGGTTTATATTTAGCTATAATCCTTTAGTACCCACTTTAATTCAGAAGGTATTTTTTAACTGGGTTGGGAACCGCAGCCCAGGGAAGGTAAGTAACTTTCAGAGGTTTTATGGTTAGTAAATGGTTTAGTTGCTGTTAGCATGATCAATTTTATTTCTAAAAGCTCTGTGACACAGACAAGTCAGAGTAGCTGCCTGCCCTAGTTCCTTAGTAAGGAGTTACGATCTAGGTGTTCACATTTCAGCCTTTTTTCATGACATGACACTGTTACTCCTACTAAAGCCCCTTGAACAGTCTTATCCTTGAGTGTTTGTAGAATGTGAATTAGGATCCTTGAGTGTTTGTAGAATCTGAATTAGGGGTTTAGATGTGGAGCTTCATAGGTCATTTGGAATTCTAAAACCATGTAATTTTTCTTTTAGGATCCCTTGATCATATTACTGTGGTAACTGCTGATGGAAAGCTTGCTTTAAACCAGATTAGCCAGATCTCCATGAAGTCACCACAGCTGATTTTGGTGAATATGGCCAGTTTCCCAGAGGTAAGGTGGCCTTGCTGAGAGTGTCCCTCTCTACCATCTCTTTTGGAATGGAGGAGGTTGAGTCAAGTCAGGAGGAAGTGATCTCTTCCACTTGTGATGAAACAGGAGAGAAAACTTACAAAAGGGAACTTGAGGATAAAGAAAGCTCTTTCTCTTTGAATTCCTTTTCTGTTAAGCTCAAATGTGATGGGGACCAAACAAGTAATTTAAATTCTGAAGTGAACTCCATCTAAGAAAAGTAATTATGGAGATACAGCAACTGATGCTTGGCCAGTGGTGGGGGGTCTCTGGTAAACTGTAGGGCTGGTGCTCAGGCTGAAGAGGGCACCTCTGCTTAGTGCCTGCTCATCATTATCATTGCTAAGCAGAAATGTAGGCCTTGTAATCATTGTTAACAGATACTATGATTTTATTACCATAAGAAGCTATTCACTAAATGTTTATTAATTTGTTTTTCTCTTTTAAAAACTTAGTGACAAATAAGTTAATCAGCCAGAAATGACTAGAGGGGCATCGGTTTGTGACATCTGCATTGGTAGTTGGAACAGACCCTTCAGGAATCTCATTTCTTTTAAATTAAATGAACCTCTCAGGAATATTGTGCGGATCATGATGGAAGACTAGCAGATGGGGTGTGGCCTTTAAGGTATATGATTTTAAGTCTAGTTGTGGAAAATAATTGGGTCTTTCATGGATCTACTAGGAACTGGCCTGAATTGAGAGTACTGCAGGAACTGGAAACTGGTCCCATTTCTGGCTGTTTGGCCTTGGGCAATTATCTTCACTCAGTGGACCTCCAATTCCACATCTGCTAACCTGAATTTTAAAAAATCTTCCTGTTGGGCTGGGGATTTAGCTCACCGGCATAAGCGCCTGCCTTGCAAGCAGGCGGTCGTGAGTTCGATCCCTGGTACCGATAAAAAGGAAAAAGACAAAAAAAAAAAAAAAATCTTCCTGTTTTAGGGCTGGGGATTTAGCTCAGCGGCATAGCAAGTGCGCAGTTGTGAGTTCGATCCCTGGTACCGATAAAAAAAAAAAAATCTTCCTGTTCTGATGGTCTGTTTTCAGTATCTCTGCCCTAAAGCAGTAGACCAAAGTTGAATACGCTGGATTCTACAAAGGGACTGTGCAAAGGGAAAGCTCTTACTCTGGACATGCTGTTTTGAATCAGAGGGCTCTTGTAAGTAATGGGTCAGGCACACTTGTGGGGATGCTGTTACCATTGTCATCCTCCATTCTCCATTTGTAGCCAGAGTGAGCTTTTAAAAATACTGTACCGACTTCCGGGAGAACATGGCGGACAGATAACAGCAACTACCGGAGGCTCTCTGAAAAACTAGGCTCAGAAACCAGGTATGGTGCGGACTAAAGAGACATAAGCAGGTGGAGTTATGCTCTGCTGACTCAAGAAGGAACTCGGCTGAGAGAAACCAACTTGGAATGCAGTCCTGGTGCTAAAACAGGAACAGAAAAGTCTCGCTGCTGAGGCTGGACCCTGCGCCATTGGAAGCCACGATTTGGGTTTCCCGCCGTGCGGCGGCTGGCTGCCTCTACATCCGCTCGGCAAGGAGAGAGACGCACGGAAGCTCTGAGAATGGGAGTCTGCGAACGGAGTCGAAAACAGGACGGGCAGGGAGGCATGTTCTGACTTGTGGCGAGGTGAGTGAGAGAAACTGACACTCCACCACAGTTTGACTCCAGCGGACTTTCTGGGCCCGAGCAGTCCTGCGAGAGCAGGGCGCGGTGGCGACTCCAGACACACATTCCCCTCTCGGGCGGGATTGGTGAAAAGTGCCTGGCCTGCGTGACGCTGCCGGCAGACCCCGTAGGCTGGCCCAAACCAGATCCCAGAGCCTGACGGAGACCGGGAGGGGCGGGCCCCCGCGTAGGCTGCCTGGTGCGCAGCGGTGAGTGGGAACACCTAACTGGCGCAATTCGATCAGGCTGTGGCTGACAGGGAGAGAAGCTGGGCCTCTCATATAAGCTTGCATATATAAGGAACAGAGAATATGGGAAGAGGCAGCAACAAGAAAGGCTCCTCGGCCCCCAATTCTGAGAAACAGGCAATAGCGGACACCGCACCAGTACACATAAAGCACCATATAGAGAGCCTCATAGACCAATTCAGGAATGAAGTTATCAACGACCTGAAGCTAGAAGTATGCAAAATAGTTAGAGAAATGCTAAGCCCCACCCAAGAAAAAACATATGATGGAATGGAAGAACAGAAAAAGAGGGGAGAATTGTTTGATGGAGAAAACAGGGAAAGCATAGAATACGTGAAGCAGGTTCAAAGGGACTACCAAGAAACTAAGAAGTCTATCGAAGCCTGGCATAACAGCTTGAAAGAAACTAAGGACAGACTATCTGAACTGGAGGGCAGAATTGTAATATGGGAGCATGAAATGAAAAACTTCTTAAAAGTAACAAAGAAACAAACAGCAATAATACAAAGACAAGAAGATGATAAGAGGATCCATAACTTAAGGATTAAGAACATAAAAGAAGAAGTAGGGACACAAACAAGTGAACTACAAAAGCTACTCACAGAAATAATCCAGGAGAATTTTCCTAATTTAGCAAAAGGTAAAGATACTCAGATGTATGAGGCATACAGGACCCCAGCTACCTACAACCCAAACAGAGCAACACCCAGGCATATAATAATAAAAATTCCAGAAATTCAATACAAGAACAGAATATTAAAAGCTGTCAGAGACAAGAAACAGACCACTTACAAGGGAGCACCCATCAGAATTACAGCAGATTTCTCTGCACAAACCATCAAATCACGAAGAGCGTGGGGGGAAATAATTCAAGCTTTGAAAGATAATAATCTCCAGCCAAGATTGAAATATCCTGCACAACTGTCCCTGGAAATTGATGGAAAAACAAGGTGCTTCCAGGATAAAGAGGAACTGGGGGAATTTGCAACCACCAATTCAACTCTACAGAGAGTATTGCAGGATATTCTAAAAAAAGAAAAATACAAAGAATCCAGAAATAGTGGAGGCCACAACTAATGGAGCAGAGAACAAAGTGAAGAAGACAAACTGACAGCTACTGACAGAATAAGAGCTCAACAGAAATGAGGCAGAGAAGATTGGATGATAGGAACAGCTATTTTGGAGAAAATGACATCTTAATAGGTAATACTGATTTAGTATCATCTTGTTTTGAAGTCTCATCTAGCTTTTGTCCTTCTGTCTCCAATGGTCTAAATAGGTTGTATCTTACTGGATTTTATTATGTATGATAGTATAAGCAAAAACCTTTTAAAGACAAGGAGATTATACAGAACCATTATTCATTTTCTGTTAGTCGATTCTAAATACTCTGTAATGCTGTCATTCTCTTAAATGGTTTTACATTGTTTTGATATACTTAATGCTACAGTATACGAAGTTGTACTCAAGGATCTCAAGGAAAGAGACAATATGGTAACTACTTTTATGTCAGGATTATCTGGTGGTGAAACACTATTCTGCTTAAATGGTTATGTTTTGATCTGTGCTGTTTCGTTGTTATGCCCTCTTTTATCTCAATCTCCACTCCATTATTTACTTTTTAAATACTTTTTAAAAATTTTTATCCTTTTAATTAAAGGAAAAAAATAGCAGGATATATTATAGTAACCCACTTTGACTTTCCATTACCTCGATTTAAAGCCCTGTATTACTCTCACCATCTGGTTTTTAACTGATGTTCCCCTATTCTGTTTTGCTGGATAGTATCAGGTTCGAAAATTTAGGCATCAGCTGTGAAGATAATGAGATTCATTATAACGCCCATTCTCATTGACTTTTATCTACTTTTGAAGACCTACAATGTCTCCAATGGTTTGGTTTTGTCGGTTTTGTTCTTTACTGTTTTGTTCAATTGTATTATAACTAATGGTATAGGCAATTCTATTAGAGATAGCGGGAGGCATTATGGTAACCATTGTTGATCACCTTGTATTATGTTTTCACATTATCTATTATGTCCACCCTTTTGACTTGACCGATTCTGTTCTGTTATGTCACATTTGGTTTTACTCTCTTCCAAAAAAGTAATAAGAACCATGAGAGCAATGAAACCCAAAATGTGTAATAGTCATTGTACAAAAGAGAGGAAAAGAAAGTGCTCTAAACTATATAACTGCATGTATATTTAAGTGTATAAGATAGAATATGATATCACAGAGTTGTATCGGATCATTGAACAGAACTGTTTGCAGTATCATTGATGGAATGTCCACTTTACAAGCTTTAATTTTGTGACTTGAACAATTATTTCTAAGATGACAATATGTAATCCATTAACTAGTGATTTCCTACTGTTCATTTTTTTTCTGCAAATCTGTATAACTTGTACCCTTTCTCTGCTTTTTTTTTCTTTTCTCCTTAAATAAAATTTAAAAAAAAAATACTGTACCTATTGGATTACATCATTCTCAACCTTAAATCTATCAGGTATTTAACTAATCTTTAAGAAATTAAAAGTCCAAAATCCTTATGGTAATCCAGAAGACCTTGTATGGTCTGACCTCTCCCTGTCTCCATTCTTTCCAGTCTTGTGTTACTGTCATCCTTGCACATTGCTCTACTCACATTGGCATTTCAGTTCTTGAGATATACCAAGTCCTTTGCAACCCCAGGACCCTTGCATATACCATTCTTGTTAGAATACTTTTGGCTAACTGGCATTCTTATTTTGGATCACAACATAAATGTCACTTTTTCGAGGAAGCCTTCCATAATTTACCAAATCTAAATTTTTCACACATGTAGCACAATTTTTATATTGATTACATTGCCACTGTTAGTAGTTATACATAGATTTACATGTTTTTTTTTTCATCTCATTTTTACTAGGTTACAATTTTGAAATATATGAGTCATATCTAACTTATTCATTGTGTCCTTTAGCAAAGTTCCTGGCACTCAGTAAATTGAGGAGGACGAATACTTGTCGTTAAGGTGATGGAAGGGTGGCACTCATTCCTGGTGTTACTGAGGAGCACAGAAGTGGACAAAAAGGGAGCTGTCAACTTTCTCTTACTGGCTCTCTCCAAACCACTGAGGCTTTTCTTTTTGCCTTGTTCATCTAATTCCATAGGCACTGTGGGCCAATTTAGGGAATAGCCTCCTAATTACACAGTTTGAAGACCTCATCAGGCAGATTGCTTTTTAGAGTCAGCCACTTCTGTTATTAAATAGCAAATGGTATTCACAGAAACAGCCTCTGATTGGCTACTAGAGCATTTTAAGGGGCAAAGGGAGGTATTAACAGCTTAGTTTTTTCTTAAGAAGTTGTAGTATAACCATCATCTTTCAACCTAGATATCTTTGCCATTTCTCCAAGTTGAAATATCCTAAGTTTTACAAAAAACTTAACAAGTACTGCACCAGAGAGGTTCATTTTCAGGGATAGTGTGAGATGCATTGTCTTTTGAATTCCTTTGTCTCATCTGGTGTATATATTAAACAAATAGCTTTAACTAAACATTTCCTTCCTCCAGCTTAGAAGCTGTCTATAGAATACCCAGTTTCATAGCTTCAAAATGTTGAGCTAATCCACTGTGTTTATATAATCCCTTTCTGTTTCCCATGCAGTTGGCTTTCTTTCCAAGTGTGAACATTTCTGTGTCATGCTGTAGTGACATGATCCAGATTTACATGCATAATCTTTTGAGTGCATTGAAGACAGAAAACTGTGTTACATTTGTTTAATATGTGTCCTGCTTGATAAATGATATACACAGTTGCTGCCTCCCATAAACTTGCCTGAAGCTAGAGTTAATTATGGAAAAGGGAAAAAGGAACCAAAAACTATAGTATCATTTGAACAAAACATGGAAAATAAAAGAAAAATTCCACAGGTTCCATTATTGTTCTTGTAGAAGGAGAAGAACTGATATGGAGTGTCTGTTGTGTTGCCAGTTGCCAGTTGCTTTTGTATCTTTTGTTTCACAAGATCAACAACAAAAATTAATATTTTATTTCATAGGTAAGAAAATGGAGGCTCAGAAGTAAAATATCTCTAGATTCACTGTTATGATAGAACCAACTTATTAGTCATTAATTCAACATATATTTTCTGAGCAAGTGTTAGGGTCTATTTGAGGTTCTGGGAATTGACTGAGGTTGTGACCTGGCAGGATGTTTAATTTTGTTATATCTATCTATCTATCTATCTATCTATCTATCTATCTATCTATGTGTCTATCTATCTGTCTGTCTATCCCCTGGCTCCTCCTTTTTCTCTCTGCTTCCTGGCTGCCATGAGATGAGCAGCTTTTCCTTTGCTGTGCCCTTCTGCCATGCCTTCCTGGCTTGGTGCCCGCCAAATATGTACTGAAACCTCTAAGATCTGTGAACCAAAACAATCCTCTCCTTTTTTATGTTGTGGTTGTCAGGCTCTGTGTCTCAGTGATGAGAAAGTGACAAAGACAACTTGAACCCAGCTTCTCAAGGACTGGTTCACTAGTTTATACAAGTTTTGTCATCATTTTTCTTCAGATGGAGGTCAGTGATCTTCCTGAACTTGGTACTCCAAGCAGTCATGACCAGTCAGTCAGTATTGCCACTTGAGAGCAGCCAGTTTTCCCTGGGATACTGGCGAATGCCCTTCTGCAGTGAGGGGTAAAGACTAAGCTGAGAGATGTAAATTCTGTGTGGATATATGTATTTTTTGTTTGTTTGTTTGAACCATAAGTAGTTCAGACATCACACTGGGAAAATGACTCTTGATTTCCCTGAAGTTTGGCAGCCTACCATGTCAAACCAAAATACACATATCTAGAATATATTAGAAGAACTGCTTCTTTCAGTAGATTTCTTTTGTAGAATGAAACCACAGTTGGTTAACATTTTTTCTACCAATGAAAAAACATGAAAAGTTAAAGTATAACATAAGGTTTTGAGGGGTTACATACCTGAAATAAAGTAAGGTGAGTTTTTCTAATAGATTAAAGCTAATCATTAGCAAGCTGTTACTGAGCACTTACCATGTACCTGCCATTGTGCCTGGTACTGTAAAAGTGTAAATACTGAGGCATAGTTCTTGCCCAGCTCAATAGTATGCCGAGACAGTACTCTTGTTCCCACAGGGGAAAGCTATGTGGAACTACTTGGGCTAGACTGTCAGCAGGAGGTGGTGTTGATAGTAGATTGCCAGCCATTCAGTGAGAAGCTACAGAAAAGAACTGAGAGATTTGAGATCAGAATACCCCTTTAAGTTGGAGATTATCCCATTAGAGTTAACTGTAGAAACCAGTGCTTAATTTTATTAAGGAATGTGGTTGTCCTCTTGCACAGAAAAACTGATTTCATTTTTTTTTCCTGCTAAGTTTAATTAATTCTTAATTCCAAATTATTTTTGACTAGTTAAAAAAATCAACTTTTAATGTCCTGATTACTGTATATATATTCAGCTTGGACATCTGTAAAAAATATAAAGTAACGTTATTAGACTAAATATTCAATGTCTTCTTAACTCTGCCAGTAACTGGAAGTGTGATGAGTTTAGTCCTCACTCCATCCTTCTTGGCTCTTAGGGAAAACTATGTCTATTCTTAGGGATTTGACTGTACCCCACAGGTCCCTGTGTATCTAGTGAATGGGCTGTGCTTGCTTGTGCCGGTCCTTTCTAGCTCTGATAATTTGTGGTCAGAGGTGCTGTTTTGGGAATTTACTATTTTAGGCACTGACCACAGATTCTGTGCATGGCCTCCTCAGGGAATTGCTCATCTTTGTGTAGTAGTTTATTTTTTTGACCTTATAGTAACACCTCATATAATTAAGGTCATTTAAAAATGAAAGGGATAGGGCCGGAAATATAGCTTAGTGGCATAAGTACCTGCCTGGCCAGCACAAGGTCCCCAGTTTGATTCCCAGTATACAAAAAAAAAAAAAAAAAAAAAGAAAGATGGATAAACTATTTAGGCATCTTCTCCCATACAACGATAATAAACATTGAAAAAACAAAATAGATGTGTATTAACTCCTATTCATTTAAACTATAAAGTCTAGGAGAAACTAGAGGCCAGGAATTTGTCTTGTATCCAAGAAACATTGATTGGCTCTGATCAAACCTAAAGCTCTTTTGAAAATGTCAAAGGCCTTGTCTTCATGAATTCCACATTGTTGTGCCAGTGGAGTTAACTTTCTCTGGCTGCTTTCTTTTTTATCCTTTATGACTGCATACCAGGTGTAGTTGCAGTACTGATCAAGTATGAGGCAAGGCACTTTGGTAAATCAGCATAGTAGTTTGCCAGCTGTCACGTTAGTGAGCACATTTATCAGAGGAACCCTAAAGAATGTTGGGTAGGACAACAGTGCATCGGCTAAATGATGACATCTACTCAGCTTTTGGGGGGAGTTTTATGCCTTTTTAATAAATGTGTCTAATTTATGCCCTGTTTGATGTTACTTTGTGCCAGGCACAGAACAAAACACATTGCTCAGGTTATTGCACTAAGGGTCAGGTTTAGATGCCACATCTTTGAAGACTGTTAAAGGGTGACTCACAGCCTTGCTGCTCAGGGCCATGGCTAGGGTTGAACTGAGCTCATGCTGACTGACTCCCAAGCCCATGGTTTCAGTAACTACTCTACCATACTACCTGTTCTAGAGCCTGCACCAGTGGAGATTGATTGTACACTGTGAGTGAGTTTGGTTTGAGTGTAGATGTGAATGAGTTAAATTTATTTACTCATTCCAGTCGGCACTGGTATATTCTGAGTGTAAAATGTCAATTGGAATTTTTGGAGTATGAAATCTTTCATCTGTCTTTACACCGATCTTTGCAGAGACCAGCCCTCCTCCCTTGAGGATTTATTGTGGTTTTGATCTGTGTTGCCTCAAACCATTGAAATCTTTTCAAAGAAGCAGAGCTGTTTTCTTTTTATTTTTTCTTCTTCTTTTTTTCCTTCCGCAGTACACTGGTACCAGGAGTGGACATAGTTTGCTATTCAGCTTGATCAAAGCACTCTACACCAATGTAACTTCCTGATCTTACTGGTAACAGAACTAAATGTTTCCATGTTCTGCCAAGATGGGTTGCCAGTTATCGGCAGAGGGCTTGCATCTGGTAATAATTATTTACTAATTCTGTTTACCTTTTGATCTGGTTTTCAGTGTACAGCTGCAGCTATCAAAGCTATAAGAGAAAGTGGAATGAATCTGAACCCAGAAGTGGAAGGGACGCTAATTCGGGTACCCATTCCTAAGTAAGTTTGGCTGAAGTTCACATAGTTCATGAAGCGAAGTGATTGTCTTTGGAAGAAAACCAATGCCTCCCTATACTATCAGGCCAGTAGTATGCCTTACCTGTATCTTTCATCTTAACAAATACCTTTTGAAATCATGTTTACTGATTTAGAAATATTTATTGCATTTGTATTATGTCCTGGATGCTGGATATGTAGCAGTAAGGTTGAGAAATGCTTTGTCCTCATGTAGTTTACATTTTAGTTGAGCAGTTAGAGTAAATAAGTAGGTAATGAAATGGTATGAAGCAAGATAAAGTGGCATACAATAGAGTGTGACTTGGTGAGGGTGATTGTGGCAGGGCAGTTTAGCTTGGGAGAACTCTTTAAGGAGGTAACATTTCTACTGAGACCTGCATGTTCTTGGAAGAGCATCAACAGCCTAGGGGAAGAATATTCCAGGCAGGGGCTAGGGATTTAGCTCAGCAGCATAAGTACCTGCCTTGCAAGCAGGTGGTCGTGAGTTAGATCCTCAGTACTGATTAAAAAAAAAAAAAAGAATATTCCAGGCAGAGTAAACAGAAACACAAGATCTCCAGATCAGAAAAACACCTTAATACCTGTAATCTCTAACTCCTGCTTCTTGAAGAATACTCCTTGCTAGTTGAAGAATTTTAGGCGTAAGAACAGAATATGGTTAGTTATGTAAACAAATAAAACTTAAAAATTTAAATGGCTAGTCTGAATATAGCTCAGTTGTGCGGTGCCTGCCTGGCAAGCTCAAGGTCCTAAGTTCTAGTCGTGGTACCTGCCCCACCCAAGACTAGAAATGTACATTCATTTTTAAATTAATAAAGGAAATACTTCGACATATTCAAGTTAACTAGTATGTCTGGAACTTAAGAGAGAGAGCTGGACTGGTCAGGAGAAGCTGATAGTGTCAGTTTGATAGGCCATGCTAAGGAGTTTGGGCTTTAGTCTCATTGTAATAGGAAGCAACTGGATTGGAACAAAGAATTAATTTGATAGTTTACTTTACTCTGGCTGCTATTAACATATGGAATGTAGAAGACAGAGTAGACACAAGGTAATTTTTCTTTCCAGTTACAGGAATCTAGGTCCTGGGAGGTAAGGTAGTATCTCTGAGCCTGTACAGCTTATGCTGATTCTGGAAACTAAACCCAGATTTAGAGGATTCCAGAGCCTCATTACACCAACAAGAATAATTCTAACACTAAGAACCACAAACATTCTGAGCTGAAATTTTTCCTGTCTTATGTTTGCTTATGTCCTTAGCAGTCTATAAGGCTGAATTAACACTATGCTTTCAAATCATGTACATTAGAAACAAATAATCTAGTGTTTAAAATTCAGATAGACCTGGGCTTAAGTCTAGTAACTATTTGTTTGGTAAGTTTATTGATTTGCTCAGTGTCAGCTATAGTAGTTACAGACCTGATGTGTGCCTTTGTGGAGCCCACAGGCTGTGTGCCAGGTCCTTTGTTTGGGTTACTGCTTACTTGTGTAAGTTACTGTGATGCACAGTTGAGAGACCAAAAAACTGAAGTTCAGAGAAATTAAAGATTGCCCGAGATCACATAGGCATTAAGTAGTGGTCAGGATTCCAATCCAAAGTTGTTCTGTTTCTTTCTGGGTAGATGAATAATTTTGGAAAGCACTAAGTGTATTCATGGACATTAGGACCAAAGTCTACACATTTGTTAGTAGGTTTATTTCCTAGTTCTTGCTTTCCTGTCTGCAGAACCTTGGAAAAGCTATTTTGCTTCCCTAAGCTTTGGGAATACAACATGAAAGAATTTTTCTTAGGTCCCTTCTGAAATTCCAGTACTCTGTGTTGCTATAAATTTGTGCAGCTAAATATTCATTGCTGACTCGGATTCTTTGTAGAGCAGCTCAGTTGTGTGACATTTTCTTTCAAGGATCAGTGATATGATGTGATACAACGCACACCTCTGCAGCCCCCAGGAATTAACAGTTGCCTTTCGTGCATTGCATGCAAAGTTGAGGATCCATGAGTTTAATTCGAAGTTTCAAAGATGTGGGCATTATTTTTTTTTACAATATTTTATCTTGGTTAATGAGTGTAATCTAAGAGAAAATTGATGGAGCAAAACCGTCTGCTCCAGCAAACCTCATTTTTTTGTATACTTTCATTCCTTTGACAAGGTGGTAGGGTCATGAGGCCCCTTACTGAATTATATGTTTGGTAGTTTTCCAGATAAAAAATGAATGATCTGTTCTGTATTATGGAGGCTGTGTCATGTGAGAGGATAAAGGTTGATTTAGAAGTAAAGAGGTCCAAGGTTCTTATTAGATTTTGGCACTGACTTCCATATGACTCTGGGCACCATTACCGTACTGGCTTGCGGCCTTCTAGTTCATTATTTGTAAAGTAGCTGGAATTGTACATAATGACAGGCAGAGATTTTGTGAGATTAATACAGTATAGAGAATAAATTAAGCAGTATGAAAGAAACCACATAAATATAATATGCTAATATTATTTCAGTAAACTTAATTTTCTATTCATATATAATTTAGGAGAAAAGAAAGGAGCAAGGAGCTTATAAATTGAACACCTACTTTGTACTAGGAACTTGTAGATGCTTGACATACACAGGGAATGCAGAAAGGTATCATGGTTAAATTTATGCTGTGGTGTTACATAAGCATGAAATTCAATTTCAACTCTTCTGCTTTAAGCTGCGTGACAGTGGCAACTGTTTTTGCATCTCTGCATCTCAGAGAACTCAGCTGAAAAATGAAAATTTATGGAAAAGTGTGAGTATACACAGAGCTTAGTAAACGCTCAGTTAATGCTAGCAAATGTTGCTGTTTCCTTACTTCCCTTTCACAAATAGAAAGAAAATTGAAATTCAGCGAGGTTAACCGTTGGCTCTGGGTCACATAGCTAGTAAGTGGTAGAGCTGTGGAGAAAATAGCACATCAAAGCTTATGTTAGGAGTCTTGGAGTTACAGAAATAAGCATAAATTCAGTTTCTGATATGTTTTGTTTGGTGGTGGTGGTGGTTGCGGTGCGGGGAGAGAGCTCTGTGAAATGAATGAGGGGAGTGTTGAGCTACAGTCCCAGGGCTTTAAAAATTTGAGGCAAGGTCTTCACTTAGTTGCCCAGGTTGGCTTCAAACTCACTGTCGTTTTGCCTCAGCCTCTGTTGTAACTAAGATGATAAGCCTGTGTCACTATGCTTAGCCAGTTTCTGATTATAAAACTTCATGTTTAGTTCTGGGTAAATTTTGCCTTTCCTGATTAATTATGATTCTTCCACTGCCTAGTGATAGTTCTTTGCACATTTGCTTTTTGCTTTAGCTCTGGTTGCCCAGAACTAAGTTTCATTTTAAGTTGCAGCAGATCTCAGCCCCTGTCTTCTCATCATTATACTCCTCTGATTCTTATATTCTTATTTAAATGTCTATCGAATATGTTACTCATCAGATAATCTGCTTCTGATCTTTTTGGGGGAGTAGGTGGAAAGATAAAATCCTAAATCAGGAACAGGTCATTCTTGCAAACTGGGTGGTCCTTATCAAATCCTCTTTTTTTAGCCCCTGAGGATCAGGTATGTGGCTGTGAGTTTTTTAATCATGGCTCTCACTTCAGATACTGTTATGCCTTAGAGACTTTGAATTATTTCTCCTCCAGTGACAATGTATATATTTGGATTTTTCCCCCTCTGGTAAGTGTTCTTTGAAATGTTGGAATATTCATTTCTATTTATGTGATTATATTTTGGGTACCATTTATGAACCACATATCCTAGAGATGTATCCTCTGGAGGTGCTGAACTGAACACTTCACACTTGTTTTTCAGATTCACTGAATACTGTGGGACAAGAAGCCACAGTTTACTTTGTTGTTTTTCTAGTAACCATGTTTTAATGATCTTCTAAAGCCTCACTCCTTGTTCTGCTGGGAGTGGCACTGTTTTAGGGTGGTTGTAATTGGGAAAGAAATGAATGTCTATTGTGAGGGTCCTTGGTGTCACTATTACTGCTTGATTGTCTGAGCACTTGTTTGCGATAGAGTTGATAAGGGTAAGCTACTTAGAGACATGAACATTTCAAAGCCAGACAACCATCTGTATCACACCCAAGTGACCTCTCCCTTGGTTTCCTGACTCAAACTTGCCATTACTCTTTAAGGAAACCCTAATGGTATTTGAATGCCTCCTTTGGTACTGCCTCTGGTATTGCCTCTGTGTAACAGTACTTTGTCAAGTGACTGCTTACTGGGAGTAAACTAACTACTATATTTAACTCATTTCATTTTGCTATTTGCTAGTTTTTATAGATGAGCAGTATAAGCCTAACAAAGATTAAATAACTTTTAAGTTCATTTAAATCGTAAAGGTGGAGTTGAGGATCATTTATATAATAAAGTTCACTTAAATAATAAAGGTACAGTTGAAGATGAAACTTGAATCTGTTTGGCTTCAAAGTCTATATTCTTACATCTATGAACTTCCAAGAGTACTTTCTGTTTTTTTGGTTTGCTTGTTTTTGTTTTGCCTTTTTACTAAAGGCAATAGTACAATTTTAAAATTTAATTATTGTACTAGATTTTTGTCACTAACTTAGTTACTTTTCTCATTGCTGAGACAAAATACCCAAAGTTAAAGGAAAAAAGGTTTATATGACTCGGATAAACCTGCAGAGATCAATTCAGAGTTGACAGGTTCCAGGTCAATATAGCATGGCAGAGGGCATTAAGGAAGGAAACAGTCCATGATAAAACAGTTCAGATAGAAGATAACAAGCAAGCAAGGTACAAGTGACAAGCCACCATACTCTTTCTGTCCCTTTGATCTTATCCAGGATATCCAGGGTACCCACTCCTTGGGTGGGTAGCACTCACACCTTTAATCCTAGCATCACTCCCTTGATCCCAGCATCATACATCCTAGATCCAGTCACCTCTGAAAAGCCCCACCTATGACTGCATGAGGCTTTGGGGGGGATATCTAGATACAAACCATAACAGTC